AGCATAAAAAACAAAACAAACCCGTCCTTGGCTTCACGTAGTGATTATACCTTATTGTAATTTTTTTCTGGACAAAAAGATAAATATATAATTTGGTGTGTGATCGAATCCGATGTTCGTCTTTGTGTTTCGAATCTTGGTAGTAAAGTCGTGGAGAATCCTAATTGCAATATCCTTCTCAACAATAATAAATTCAATTTATAATATTGTTGCTGTCGTATTATTAATTTCAATTCCTCTATGTAATTCGGGGAGTGATTGTGGAATTAAGTAAATATAAAATAAAAAAAATTGTACAATATTCATATTTCAAGCTCTAAAATACTCTAGCTCCAAAATACTCTTATATGAAGTGATGTGTTAGAAAAATATAATATAAAATTATAAAAAAAAACCTATGAAATTGTTTCTTTTTTTTTACTGTGATTCGATATTCAGTTTATAATGAAATGGCTGAACGGATTTGTATCAGTAATCCTATCCTCACCCAATAGATGCAGCTCAGTTGGTAACTTGGCGTTGAGTTAGTGGGGTTGGATATGTGTTCGATTCCCGCTGAATGCATTCTTGGGGAGGGGGCTGAACCTTTAGCCATCACTGTTCCCCCGCACTCCGGATTAGTCCCATAGCCGGCTCAAAGAGTCGAAGCTCGTGGGGATACCGGAGGGAGCCAACTCGTCTCAAAGAGATAATTAGGGTTGGGTAACTCCAAAAAAGTACTCCTATCCTTTTTTTTTTTTGGAGGTTACAAGGAATTGAACACAACACCTTACATTACATACACACACTCCTAACACACACACCCCACACCACTAGACTAACCTAGTGATGCTCCTATCCTCTTTTCTTTAAACGGTACCGGTGGGCCCGATTATATTTTAAAGGTAGGATTATTGTTTTGTTTTTCTTTAATTATTATCCAATTTGATTTCCCCCTTTTTTTAGTAAGTATTCAGTGGATACAAGATACAAGATATTTCACAGTCAACTTGTTAACTTCATTTTTTTAAGCAAAACAAATATGTATGCCCATGACATAAAATGTAAACTTCATTTTTTACAAGTCTCCCATCTATTTTGTGACCTTTATGCCTTACCAAAAATTTGACAAATGACATGTTAATAAAATAATTTAATTTCTTTATTATTTAAATAAATAAGTTCAAACTTTAAATCCGTATTAATTTAACATTTATGATAAAATTATTATTATTATTTATTTAAAATATAACAAGGCATTCGGATACTAACATGAAATTCTATATGTAACAATTAAAATAATTTTTATTTTATTTTTAATATTACCTGTGTTTCCTAGGAAATAAATGGTAATAAATTAAGAAATTTACGTATTTTAATTTTTTAATAATATGTTGATATTAATTTATATCAATATCATTTTACTGTACATATACAAAGACGGAAGTTAATTAATTTCATTATTTAACTGCCTATTGTCTTGCTAGAATGCTAGATAGGCTCACTTTCAGGATTTGGTACGACAACGCTGATGGATCCTTCTTCCTGTGTGGGTTCTGTTCTTAGAAAGGATGTTGTTGGCGTTGCGGTCACCGTACTGATCTCTTGGATTTTCTAGTTTTGTTTTGGGCTTTCAGCCCGGAGTTTCTACCAAAAAAAGAAAGACTTTTCTAAGTACTTTTTATAATAGAAAAGGTACTAACTTTGATTTATCTATAAATAAAGACTTTTCTATTCAATTTGAGTGTTCTCATTTGTATTTATTATTTATTTTATAATAAAAAATATATATCTAAAGCCATTTATGCAATATCAATTTTTTGTAAGAAAAAAATTTATTGCAAATTTACAATTTAGGTCTAAGAGCATGTTAAAATTCAACCTTGATGGTGTCAAATCCTGGTCCATGCCACACTAGAGCCAAAGCCCATACCATACCCCAAAGGAATGGGCCGAAAAATATATAACAATGGAGTGAGGGCTTTTAAAATTAAAAGACCTCCTCTTTTTTGTATCTCATACTCGTAAATGCATACTGCAATTTGTCCCGAACATGACTTATATGAAGACATGTAAGTAATATGAAATCACAAGGGAGGTTTTCCATTTACTACCGGGTAAGTCTTTGGTGAAAGTTTTGACATAAATTGGAATTGAGGACTTCTTAGTTATAAAGTCTCGAGGTTTTAGACCATTTTATAAAGGGAAAAATGTGTATCATTTTTAAGAGACATAAAGTTGTGTCATTTTAAGTGAGAGAAATAAATAAATCATGGGAGAGAGTGGGAGAAAAAAGTTTTAAAGATATAGGTCTCACCTCTTTGTGAGAGTGAAAGGATGTAAGATGTTCCCTTTTATAAAAATTGGACCCATTAGCATAGGAATAATAATAATAATAATAATAATAATAATAGATTATTTATATTTAACTGAATATGTATTCCCTTAACTTTAAAAAGAATTTTACCCTGAACCTGGACCCTAATATTTTTAGCTAAATAAACTTAAAAAAATAACTAATAAAGTAAATAGGCTTAGACCCGAAGAGGCCTAAAACAAGGATAACCATACCTTGACTGGTAATGTTACTTAGTTAATGTACTTTTAAGTGAATATTTTTACTTGGCCATCCTTATTCCCCACTGATAAATCCGTAAAGAGTTATACGTTCATTCTTCAAGATTTCTACAGAGAATGATACAGGAAACGTCGTCCTAAAACGAAGATCGTTGACGTTTCGCAGGTTTTAATATCAGTTCGGTAGACTTTCTACCTCAAAAGAAATGACAAGAACGACACCTTAACAAAAGTAATGGGACATTAGTGATGAAAATGGATTCTGTAACGTTAAATAAAACTATGACACGATCGTGCAGAGAAATAATAATTATATAAAGATGGATCATGATAAAAAAGAGAGATAAAAAATATTGAAATATGTTGTTACAAAGTCATCACCATTAATTTATTTTAGGATAATTGTAATTTTCTCACATAATCATGCTATATTATATTTAATATGAGAGAATATATTTCGCATTAATGATACAATTATTTCAAAATCAATAATTTAACATCGCATTAATTACAATACAACCTCCAATCCATATCTCTTGCTCGTGCAGTGATTGGGCAGCAAGTGGGATGGCCATACTGGCTCGTTCTACTTTTCTTTTTGGAACAGTCAAGATTTAATTTCAAACACAAAATGTATTTCACGTTTTCTTGATGTTTTCGAAATCAATAATGTAATAACGCATTAATTACAATACAAAATCCAATCCACATCTCTTGCTCGTGCAGTGATTGGGTAGCAAATGGGATGGCCATACTGGCTCGTTCTACTTTTTCTTTTTGGAACAGTCACGATTTAATTTCAATCACAAAATGTATTTCAAGTTTTCTTAATGTAAACAGTACGTACTTACAAAAATAGAAATATATTACAAATTATAATAATGTGTATGTCTTATAAAAATCGAAGTATTAATGTCTTTTTTCAGTCATAGTTTTTTTGTTGGCGCAGTTACTTTTGGGGCCGTTCCTCTTGATTTGACAATTTATTCTTTTGGCTAAGGCGTTGCTTTGTCATATAGTACTACTTTTTTTTTTATTGCCATCGTAGTGCTACTTAAGTACTTATAATTAACGTTGTTAAAATTGAAATTTTAAATAAAATTGAAATTTTAAATAAAATTGAAAGAAGATTAAAAAATCATAAAACATACAATCAAAATGTAAAAAAATTTATAAAAAATCATAAAAACATAAAAAATTTGAAACATTGATAAAATTATAATGATAAATCAAAATTTTAACAAATATACTTATGATCTCTTCCTCGAGTGTGGTTACATTATTTAATAGTTTACCATAATCAAAGATACTGTCAGGCTCGGCAACTACTTAATCGAGGAATACGGATAGAAAGTTGATTCGTACGAATTCCCATACCCCGTAACGCACGTCTTCCTTTAGGATGCTTTTTACAGACAAAAAAGCACGCAGGTACATTACAAGTGCGACAGTGCGCGTGGTTTCTTCGCGTGTGGCAAAACAAAATAATTTTGTTATAAAAAAAAAAATAAATAAATAAATAATTTGGACATGTTTTGCCAATCACCGGAGCCCAATGAAGCGGTCATGAATATCAAAAATTGACCTCCCAAGTCCCCAAAAAAAAAAATTGACCTCCCAAAAACACAAACACAGTGACAATAATGAATTATATTATTTAGTACCCATTTTTCCTCCGCCAAATCATGTTTTATGGAATAGAAAAGTAAGTTCGTGTTTTTTTGTAAATAATTGTCCAACCCCCCAAAGCAAAAGAAAATGTATAAAAGCCTTCACCTATGGCTTCTTGACTGCGCAATATATGCAAAAATTGTGGGCGCCAAATTATAGGCACCAGATTGGGAGTTATTGTCCCAATCGCATTACGTTTAGCTTGCATCACTAACTGTCCACGGTTTAAAAGAAAATCAAAATGAAAAAAACTATGGATCACAGAAAACAACCTTTCAAGTGTAATTGACTAAGAGGAAAAAAAAATTACTTGCAAACTCAATTACTGAAAATATAGTGAGAAAGTGAATTTGATAACAAAATTTAAAAAAAAATTATTTGGTAGATTAAAATATTACTGAAAAAATTGGTAAAAGTTAAAAAAAATTTCATATCCACTTTTTGGTTTTCCAGGCAAAATCAGAATACCACTATTTTGCAATTTTACACATTATATCAGATTCCTATGCAAATGAGAAGCCTATGCAAAAATTTTATAAACTCCTACCAAACATTGTCTTCTTTAAATCCCATGTGGCAAAAAATTAAAACTCTCCTACTAAATAAGCGTTTCCCATGCGAAATCGCACAGATAATTGGGTCTAATTCAGAAAGCAATAAAGCATGGCATCTGCAGTTCGGTTAGAAAGCTCCTGGAGCTACTGAACTGCAGTTTACAGCACTGTGGGAAGTGTATAATATTACACTCAATTAATACTGATAGATCATTGAAATGCTAACAAAACACACCAGGGCTTTGTTGGAACTTGGAACCATCCTTCGTGGGAACAAAATTCAAATTACATCAATAAATTAAATAAGGAGAACAAAGCCGAGAAAAGTGAATTGAAGGGGTGAAAAAAAAAAGACAACAAAATGCAAGTATTTAGTTACAAGCCTGTTTGCAGGGTATAACCCTCCTAAATTAGCTAATGTCCCATCAAATGCTAGTAAAACAAACATTAACACCACAAAATTACACAAGCACAAGACACCCATACTTATAAATATACTATGTCATCTTTAATATACCACACAAGCCCTAATCAGAGTCATTAGCAGTTGGCTAAATCATTGCAAGGAATCTATGTTCTTACTCAGCTCCTCCAGCTTCTTCATCCTCATTCTTTCACTTTCGCTCACAAGCTGATCATATTAACCATTCAGAGGTAAGCCGCAGCAGAAACAATATCAACAAAAGAAAATATCCCACATATATCAGAATAAGGAAAGTTATGTATTCAAATTATTCACAAGCACGATGTGGAATGTGAGACTAACCTCCATTAACCTGGTGATTAGCTGGACTTTTTCCCTGTTCTTTTCGTTAAAAGCTTCAAGGGCTTCTTTGTATTCTTTCTCCTGTAACATATCGAAAACCCAATTTCAATGGGGTCCCTAATAGAATGTCTGGGTCTGTATAATATAGCAGCATACATCGTGTATTAAAAGTTGCTACGAATTTCAATTTAACCTCACCTTCTTCTGGCAGGTATGACCTAGTGGCTTTAATTCTTTGTTTACGGAATCAATCTTTTTTCGGACAAGTCCAACCTCCTTCCTCATTGGATCTGCCAGGGCTTCAAGCTCCTGGTATTCCTCAAATAGAAAAAAGTATGGAATTACTCAATTATATATCAATACAGGTATTAATAACAAAAATTGCAAACACACGCACACTAAATGTATAAAACACCTTTCAGCATAAATAATGGTCAGTTGTTTATTCAAAAAAATATTTAAGAACTTAAAAGCCCAAATTCCATCCTCTCATACGATACTTGATATATTGCTCTCTACCAACATCAAAGAAAAAAATAAAATAAAATTGGGGGACAAAGAAATTCTAGAAAGCAAATTAATAAATTATTTGGTTCATAGCCTGATACTACTTTCTGAGAAGAAGAACACATCCAAGGGAACAAGAAAGTTCAAATTTTGAATTCTTTTCCTCAAAAAACACAACGGAAAGAAAAAGATAATGTTTTTGGGCTGAAAATACACTGTCTCGAGAACAAAACCACAGATCGGGTATATCCAAGTGCAGTAGATGTTCTGCAAACCTCTCTAGTGTTCTCCTTGTTACAAGATAACCCGATTTATAAAGAAGAAGAAAAATACATTGAGAAGGCCAAAGTTACTATGATCAAGAATTTCTTGCCTTCACAAACCAACACAGCTTTGTTAAAATCCCTAAAATTTATCTCTTCACATTAAAAAGGAGCATGATTTTCTTAAGCCAACAAAAAAAAAAAAATCTATTTTCCATGCAAGGCCGTAACAAATCCTTTTTCACCCGATTAAAAGACCACACATACTTCCTTGATTTTAATCCTCAATTAATTTTTTTGTACTTTTGTTTGGTAAATTTAGTTTATTAAAACATAAGAGCAAAAAAAAAAAAAAGATAAGGGAAGAGGAAGATGGAGATGAGAGGTCCAGATCAGTTATTCTTGGGGTGAATCCTAATGATATAGCAAACTTGGTTGCATACAAAGACTTTATAATTTTATTTTACTTTTATTTTTATTTTTTTTAAAAAAAATAGAGTTTCCCAGTTAAGCGAAACTGAAAATTGAAGGAAAAATCATAGTTAAATCTGGAAAAGGTAGCATGTGACATGGGTGACATACCTCACGAATGGTAGCAAGACGCTTGGTTTCTTCTTCGACTCGACCCAACTGGAGCTGAACCTTCTCTCTCACCTCCATCTTCTTCCTTTCAATCTCTTCCTCTTTGGCTCTGAAGGTTGATAGAGCAGACCTTGACATCTCTTCATCTTCCTTAGACAAGTGACTACTGAAGCTTAGGCTCCCCGAATTCTGCACTACCAACTGGTTGTTCTGCTGAGTTTGCTGCTCAGTCTGCATCGTGTTCCAACCTTTTTCTTCTTCTTCCTTGAATTCCTCTCTTTGTTATGCCCTCTCTCTCTCTCTCTCTCTCTCTTTGCTTCCTCTTTTTCTCTTTTGCTTTCTCTTTTGTTTGGCCCTGAAATGATGAGGCTGCAGTGCTCTGCTTCCCCTGTTGCGAGTGCGCTTCTTATGTTATCTGAGGTTGCCCTTCGTTTAAGGCCTTTAAGCGTCAAACGGCTTACCTTACCCTTTGCCTTTATGGACCAAACAAAAACTCTGAAAAACCAAAAAATTTAATTAATGAATAAGAATGAGGAAAGTTAAAAAATAAAATACAAATAAAATATATAATTAAAATAAAAACCCAGGCTGTAGTTAGTGTAGTGTAGGTAGTCCCAATTGGCAATTACCTCTCTTTTTCTCTCTTTCCAAACATATAATGATAATAAATTATTCTTAAACAATTTGTTGGTGACCTGTTCCAACTTACCCCTTTTCTTTTCTTCCCAGCTTGGCTTACCCATTTTTTAAAATGATAAAGAATTTAAAATAAAAGACAAAGATTACAAAAGCACAAGCTGATCAGGCCCAACTGCCAGGCAATCTCTGAAGATAAAGAGAAGTGGCCTTCAACTTTACTGAATGAAATATTGTTGTTTTTGGTTTGTCTGAATCCCTCTAGCTGGATAGAAATAGAATAATAACCTTGGAATTTGAGTACGGAGTTCGTTCGCTTACATTCTAAAGGCATTCAAATTTCTTGTTCAACTTTGCTACACAATAACCGCCCCCCAAAAAACATAGTTACACTTCCTTCCAATTTATTAACATGATTGAAACGTATATGGAATTTCACTTTAAAAAATAACAACCAAAAGGTAACTCTACAAAGAGTAAATATTTAATTTGGGTTGTTGAGCACTATTTCAATTTTTTTAAATTTCATTAATTAAATTGGTATAGAAAAATTCAGGGTACATATAGGGGACCTAAAATGATCAAAGATACTAGGTTATGGTCATATCCGGTTTGAATTCGAATTAATCCTTTTTATTTTTCGATTGCAAAAAAAAGAAGGACTGAAGATAGTCAAGTAAGAAAAAAAAAAAAAAAACAGGATGGAAATCCCAGAGTTTATTTTATGAGAAAAATCTTGGACGTGCATATTTCTGTAAGAAAAATATACTAAATATTTAAATTGTTTCCGTTACTTTTTTATACGCCCTCAAACAATTGTTCAGCGGTTAAAGTATTACCAATTTATTATGTATAATAAATTGTGATGATCGCCGTAATTATGTTTAACAAATATAAGATTCATATGAATAAAAATTTAGTCTTTATTGATCATGTTTTCAGAGCTATCTTTCAATATATATATATATATATATATATATATATATATATATATATATATATATATATATATATATATGATCTTGGCATCCTATGGTACATGTCTGGAGGCTTGTGTAAAAGGCAAATCTGTAGAAGGTGCAAATAGTCTGAAGAGATCGGTGTCATTTTGCATGGACTTGATTACAATATTATACTATGATGAAGATGCTAAGCTCTAGAAGATTAAAGAAATTTTCTCAACTATCTTACGTTCTCTAGAAAAAGGTTAATCATAACGGGTAGTATTTTTTGAGCGAGCATGGTTCTTACGTGCTTTGTACATTGACTTTGCACATCGACTTGTTTGAGAGTTCTATAAAGCTAATTAATAGCATAATTTGTTGGAATTAATTTTTTAAATTAATTATTTTTATTAATAAGAAGTTTGATTTGGAAAGATGTGTCGTTTCATCGATGAATAGATGTATCATTTCATCGATGAATGGATATGTCGTTTCATTCTTGAATTAGTGTGTCTTTTCAGAATTTTAAATAGATAGACAATCATAATTTTAAAAGATAATTTTTTTTTATCATTAAAAAGACCCTCATCCAAAACCTTAAGATTTTGAGTTGAATTGATTCTTTTAACAAAGCTTAAGTGACCATATGGTCACGAATTCGATCATCACCGCCCCCACTTGTGGTATTAAATAAGCACAAGGTAAATGCAAAAAAAAAAAATTGGGCTACGCAATATCTGCGCTTCAAGCTCAAATGGCTCTTACATGAGAGAGTATGTTAGAAAATAATATAAACCATTAAAAAGACCCTAACCTAACAACTTAAGGTTTTTGGTTAAATTGGTTCTTTATAGCATTTGCATTCCATTGCTTTAGTGCGTTTGGTCATGCATAAGTTGAGTTTGATATAAGACTATTCTATGTGGAAGTGTCACCACGAGAATAGAGGTAATTGTTCTATATTGGGAGACAATTGTTTTTGAATCTTGGGCACCATAAAGAGGGCAATATTATCTTAAAGACATAGTGTGTCTAACATTGGGTTCGAATTTTTCCTTCTCACGTTCATATATTTTCATATATTTTCGTACGGTACGCTTTAACTGTGTATTATTGCATGTTTCAATTTTTTATGTGTATTTTATGAAAATATAAATATTGTGAAAATAATTTCTCTAACACAAGATTATTCCCATAATATTATCATCATTTTTTCTAACATAATTAACTAAAGGGGAAAAAAAAACTATTAGTATCTGCTTTTCTTATATGGCTCAACGACATTAAAAATAAACTAACTATAAAAGGTCTTTATATGGACCAAGTTCAGATAAGGGCCATGGATGTACCGCGTGGTAAGTGTCATGCATGCCCCACAAGGTTTAACAGATTCACAACATGCAACCGTTGTGTCCTGTCCCTAGCATTTTTGTTTTACGACACAATAACCACTTTCGTAAATTCTAATACAGCAGGCCGGGTTGCTTTCGAGCCTCTTCCTCATTTTCTGCTCTGATTTGTGCATGACATGCATGTGAAGGAGAAGGGACTTGTATTCGTATACAAGATTCTTATAACTTATATCGCCATTTGGTTTAAGTTGGTAGACTGAAATTTCTCAACTAACTCTTGTTCTTCGTTTTTTAACTCATCCATATGGCGTGTACTAGTACAGGTAAAGATTAATTGCATGACAAGAAAATGGGTTGTATAAGCACGCGTATGACAGATAGCTCTCAACTTTGCCACGATGCCAAGCAATCTTCCGGCAGGTTCACCATGCAAATTTCTCTGTACGTAATTTCGGTTTGGGTCCCGGACATTGGGTAGTTGCAAATTACATAATACGTTTAAATATAAAACATCATTTGCATTTCAAAATTTATTGTTTAGAATTAAAGTTATTATAAACGTTTTTTTAAATAAAGTAATGCTATTTAGTACAAAATAAATTCTTCTACAACTGTTTTAAAGAATCAAATTAGTGTCTTTTTTATGTCTATTTCCTTATTCTTCAATTAAATAATGATAAGTCGGAAAAAAAATAAAATAAGAGTGGATTCTTTCATATATTATTTAACATTACCATGTTATATGAGAGAATCATGATCATATAAAGGTGTATCAGTGGTGATAAAAAAAATAAAAAAAATATTGATATAGATAAATTATAAAATCATCATATCAGTCATTAGCATGTTATCTTTCTGCTGATCCTGCCAATAAAAATCTTCACACCGGAATATAAATCATATCCAACACTGAGTTTGTGCCATAATTACAAGAGAAATATAATCAACAATTTAAGGATATGATGCCCGACGACTAGGCAATTTTTCCTTCGTACCGGTGCATCAAACCAGCGCATTTAGACCTGTACTAGCGGAATGGACAAAACCAGTCTAGAGAGTTTGGTATTTTGCTGGTAATTCCACTATCACTTGACAACTTTTAAGATACACCTCCCTATGAAACCCATGTTGGTAAATTCAAGCAAGTAAATATCAGAACTAAACTTAGACTAGCTTCGGTTGCCTCCCTCTCTATGAAAGTATTAATCAAATCAATCACAAATAAATAAACAAGGAAACAACTCAGGAATGATTTTAAGGAATAAAATAAGGAAATAAATCAGTGCAACAGCGCAAATGTTTGTTTGTCAATTATATATGGCAGAGAAACGCACAAGTCAATGCGCTTTTCAGCATTATACATACGCTGGAAAACAATTACACATGTGCTGGATTTAGACACTTTTCCTCAAGTTCCGTGTTATTTATATGTTGATGATTCTCAATTTGTGACTTAATTCTTCATACATGACCCTTGTTTAGGATTTGGTGAGAACATCATCCACTTGTCAGTTACAAGATACATGATGCAGGACAATAATGCATGAATCTATCTTCTCCAAGAAAAAATGTCTGTTTATTTCAACATTCTTTGTCCTATCATGTTAAATTGGACTTTTAACTATCAAAGTACGTAATTGGCCTTACTCAAGAAAGTCCACCAGCAGATATTGGCATATATACCAAAGATTGGTCATCCACACTCATCTTGACATCAGTTTTTATGTAAGTGTGGTTAGTCAATTTATAAACAAACCAACTAAGATACTTAAAAATGACACCAAGGGTTTATGCTTTTCTAAGAATGATAGTAGGGAAATAGAAGTTTATTCTCACGCCAATTTGGCCGAATCAACAATTGATAGAAGGTCTACTATATAGGCTATTGTACATTTGTATGAGAAAATTTAGTAACTTGGAGAAGCAAAAAGCAGCCAATAGTGCAAGAAGCAGTATCGAAGCAAAGTTTAGATACCTATCACTTGGAATATTTGATGGAATGTGAATCTTGAGATTGTTAAGGGAATTAAATCTCAATGACATAACAATGCAAGTTTACTTCGATAACATGACAACTATTGGCATAGTTAAAAATCCAATTTACTATAATAGGACAAAGCATGTCAAAATAGACAAACATTTTATCAAGAAGAAGATAGATTAAGACATTTTTACCCTACATCATGCAGGATCCAACTTACAAGTGGTTGATTTTTTAACCAAATCCATGGCAAGGGTCAAGTTTAAAAAATTAAGTCGCAAACATATGTAAACCAACTTAAGGAAAAATGTTAACGCTGTCCAACATATGTACAATTAATGCTGAAAAGCGCGTTGATTTATGAGTTACGTTCTCCAACTCATGATCAATAAAAACACAATGACTAATTGCATGCTTTCTGCCATACCCAGCTAAGAGTAGTATCAAACGAAGGATTTAGGCCAGGAGGAAGTGGGAGTGTGTGGAAGAAAATCGTGCCAGTCAATGCGCTTTTGTTGTTGTTCATGAATCGGATAATAATTCTCTAATC